GAGCCATTAGTCTACCGTTATCAACCTAAGCACTATATGGCATATATACGTTACCGTTTCAAACATCAAAATAGAGTTTATACTTCATCACTCATACGGTTTATAAGTTTATATATTTACTTCTTCCTTCTACAGACAGCGTCAATGCTTGACAGTCTTCACATGTGCTTTCTCGAATCATATGTGTTTCACACGCGTAACACTCCCCAGACCGCAATCCGAGTTGCTAAAACGCGCAAACCTAGTGCACGAATTTCACCACCACAACACTCGTAGAATGCACCGGAGATAAACATTTTGTTTTCAGCAATTACTTAAAGTATGGATTATTATTTGGATAAGAGTATCAGAAGACTTTATGTAACCCACAGGTGAGTGTCAGAGATTCTACTTTCTATTTACGATAACGAAACTATATAGCGGAAGCATGCAATACTGAATTATGCGCACGCACCCCGAACGGAAGTGGGTCCATCATTTCGTTCTCTGGACAGAATTAATAAGCCGCTCGGCTCTCGCCAAGAGCGGCTTAAAAATAAACAAAAGGCCATAACTCTGTGTATAGTGAAGACCAAGACCTAATTCCAGTGCACTGCGCACATTCTGTGGGTGATGCAGGTATATTCTAGTTTAATCAAGATATCTTAAATGGTTTTAAATGTATGGGCCGGACAAGAATTTACTGAAAATGTTGCACTTATTTGACCTTGAAATGAAGGTCACAATGACCTAATTCCAGTGCACTGCACACTTTCTGTGGGTGATGCATGCATAACTTAAGTTTCATCAAGATATCTTTAACGGTTTAAAAGTTATGGCCCAGACAAGTTGCGATAAGAAGAACCAAAAGAAGAAGAAGAACCAGTACTAATACAATATGTCTCCCTTCATTTGAAGTGGAGATATAATGATACCTCAACCTAGTAAGATACATGCCAAATTGCAATCCTTTTGGTTGCATGATTCATAAAAGGAGGTCGTTTGAAGATTTTAACACATTTTACATTTTGAAAGTAAGTTAAGGTCATTTATTATTTCTGACAGATCTTCAAACCAGCAAAATACTAGAGCAGGGATTTAAATAAAATCTTACAGAAGACTTCTGTTGTACTTCATCTTTGATGATCAGAAGGTATAATCTTTAAGTTTTCCTTTGTCACATACCAGTTACAATTACTTACATATAATTTCATAACTCTCTGAAAAGTCTCCTTCAATTTTTTCCTCTTGTCTTTCAATACTTTCTCATTTAGCTTTGGTGCCTCCATTGGGTTGTACTCTGGAAAACCAAAAGATTAAAATCCTTGATCAAACAATTCAAATTGTACATATATTTATATCAAAACATTTTGCAAAAATAAGGTTTGATTAGTTTAATCATGTCTTTATACATAATGTACTAGTTTAATCATGTCTTTATACATAATGTACTTACCAGGTATTCACATATAACGTCCCAAAAATACTTTTAAATTTAAATTTTTCAAATAACCTTTTCCTGGCTTATGTCTAAACTTTATTTTATTTTTACACATAGTGACCCATATATTTAGAACCCAATCAACACCTTTGTTAAGTTCTTTTAACAAGTTTTGATAAAAAAGATTTGACAAGAGAATGATGATTAATAATAGATATGATCAACTAAACTTACCCATCTTATCAATCATTTCCATTTCTTGTAGTAGTTTTAGTGGATCTTTGCCTTTCAAAACAGCTTGTCTCACCATCATACGCTGCTTCTTGTTCTAATAAAATATTAAATACATGTTAATTCATAAAAAAAATCATCAAAGGTAATAAGGGAGGCAACTGCATCTGAGAAAGGATTAAACCTATTTCTTACATTGTTTTAGTTTTTAGAGTGATGACAAAATGCATGAGAACTCCATACAATGCAGGCAAAATATAATGGCTCTGCTCTCCACAAACAATTTAATCAATAGTTACTAAAAAGACCTACAGACACAAACAAATGATATATTTTAAAGGTCTTCAACTGCATCAATAACAGTCCAAACCTGTACATATTGAGATTGAAATCCCAAGTTCTTAGGTAACAGGTATGAAATAATATTAACTTTATACCTATAGCTACCCCTCATTCAGCAATCTTTTTATAACTTCAATTTTCATGTAGTATATCATTTTGTCTTTACTCTGACTTTCATTTCATCTTTTCATTTAAACAAAGAAAAGAAAAATGACTTATTCTGTGTTTTAACAAAAGAAAAACTTATCATGTTTTAATATTTTATCTTTTTCAAAGCTTTTCATTCCTGAAGTAAAACAGAAAGATCACCCGATAAAACCTTTCTTATCAAGATAACTTATTCCGATATTTTAAATCACTGAGTCAGCATGCTGCTGCTGCTGTGGTAGTTACCTTCTTCAGCTCTTTCTTCCTTGCCTCCTTTCCTGGAGAATAAAAACAAAATAAAGATATTGATAAAACAAAATGGACTTACAATTATGGCAAAACACAAAATTATGACATGCACTAGTATGTCACATATTCTGTTATAAAATGAAGATATGAACTACAACTGTTCCTTACTTAAAAGAATTACCAGTCTGCAAGTCTGATCATAGTAATCACACAAGCAAGAATTGAAATTGCACAGTGATGACTTTCTTTAGAAGAATCTTTGCTCACTTTGCAGAACATTCCAATTCCCATACTGAATGAGTCTATACTATAGTGTAATAAGGAAGATAGATACAACTGTTAAAATCTAACAACTGAAACACTGAATTCTTTGATGAGCATTAAGTTAAGATTTATACCAAAATTGTACAATCTGTTTTAAAATAATTCTATGTAGTCATGCTACCCATTCTCTACATATGAAATTTCAGATTTTGAACTTTTTATGATTGGTTTGGTCTGGTTTAATTTTGTTTAACATCCTATTACTAATAACAGCTAAGGTCATTTAAGGACATGCCTCCATGTGTTTAGTGTATGTGTGCTTGCGTATGTGTATGCAGGAGACAGGGTATGTTGGTGTGCTTGCAATTGTCTCCTTGTGATAGCGCTGATCTAATGCCGACTTTATAGTGCTAATTCACTGAAATGCCATACCGAAGGTACCCAGCACAGCATTCCGCCCGGTCACATCATACTGACAACGGGTGAACCAGTTGTTGCCATTCCCCTCAATGCTTTACGTTAAAGCAGGGAATAACAACTACCATTTTTGAGGACTTCAGTGTCAAGTTTTTGAGTTGGTTGACCTCTTAGTTCTGTATAAGCAAATTTCACTTTACCAATAATGACCATGAAAGACTTGGAAAAACTGATAAAATTCCTATCTGCACGCTAATAATATTTTCAGCAAATTAAAGATAAACTTGACCTTTGGTGACACATACGTATCTTTTTCTGTTTTAATGTCTCACTAATGTCCCTTTTATTCAGAGATAGAATCAGACTTGCTACTTTACTTGTCATTCTAGACATGTAAATGCATTGAGGGGACTAGGCCGGGGGATTGTTGCTGATCCCAATTTTGCCCTGTTGCCTTTTTCCTCTCCTGTTTTAGTGGTGCATGTGACCAACCCTTGATTCAAGTAATGTGTATGCACTAGTATACTGGAAAGGGAATACCATAGCCCTAGCTGTAAATACAAAATCTAGTTGTCATCAGAACAAAGAATTACCAAAGGAGGAAAGTATGTGACGGTACAAGACTGGGTGACTACTGGAGGCCAGTTAACAAACTCAGTTCGGTTAAAGCGTTCATTGAGAGTTCGGAGGTATTGGTCAGGTACTGGATCACCAGCAAATCTGGCTATAAAGTCAAATATGACCATACATGTACAGAACGAATGTAAACAAATAAGTCAATTATGGTCGCAATTTCTTCAAGCACATTGAAAATTAGGTGGACAAACAGGTGAGTCAGTAAAACGAAAGATTTTTATCTAAAAACTAAAATTCCGGTGACTTTGTTGATTATCATCGTTGCAGTTTTTGGTAATAGTATATTTTATCCTCTGTATCTGATGGTTAGAACAACGAATATTAAAGATTTCTGTACCAAAACACCAAAAAAATAATTCCCNTCATACCTGCCAACCCTGGACATACTGAAAGAGGGTTATGACCCTCTTTTGAAAATTAAAAAGAGGGTCATAGTGCGCGACGGCTTTTTTCGCAACAAATATAAGAAAAATAGATATTAAATTATAACTTAAATATTTTAATGATGTAAAAGTTACATTCTACATTCATTGAACTGTTCTTCCAGCAGATCTAGCTGATCCTCATCCACAATACCAAATTCAAAGCTGAAAAATAAAAAGATTTGTCAACAACACAACTTATAAAATTAATTCATAATAATATATATGATACTGTGTTTTCACAGGCATTTTTTATGTCAATTGAAATGGTCCCGACAATAAGATGTCACATTCTGCTCATATAAAATACCATTTTGTTTCTGTCAATGAAAATGGTCCTGACAACAAGAAGTTGCACCCTTCTCATATAAAATATCAGTTTTATACGAGTAGGGTTTGAACTCTTATTGTAAGGATCATTTTGATTGACAGAAACAAATCATCAAATGCCTGAGCGTGTTTTTGACTAGAGTGCAGAATGCAGCGTTTGGTCCACGACCACGGGACTTTGTACACTATAACTCATTCTCCTACGACATTTGATATGTGTACAATTATCTTTTCTTTTAGCAATTCGTGTAGTAGAACCTGCAAGTCCCGATAAAAACTTCTTCCTTCAAGAAGACATAACGTTACCTTCAAAATACATTCTATTCTACGTAAATACAACTCAATTATTCGTTAAAAACCTGACTAATAACTTGTCAGCAAGTTCAGTAACAACGTTCTTTATATAAACATTTGTAAAAACAGTTCTAGTACGTATATAAACAACTCACAACTTACCTGTTGGTGAGAAACGGAAACAGGAAATATATCGTCTTTCTTGTGAAGAAGGATGGAAAAGTCTAGAGAATTCCGAGTGACTTCGGTAACTTCTAATATACGAAAAGATTCCGGGTGAAAACGGGTGAAATTGACGAAATCCGGGTCAAAATCGTAACCCGGCGGGTGAAGTTATAAAATCCCGGGTGTAACCCGACGAAATCGGGTCACTTGGCAGGTATGCTCATATTAGTATAATGTTATCAAAATATTGCATAATTGTTGAAAAAACGAATCCTTACCCATGCAAAAACTCTTTTACGAAATTAAACAAAGTCCGTCTTGGGGGAAAAAAATAGAAACGACCGCCATGACAGATCACGCGTGATGTTATCTCAATTATCCTTTCTATATATGGCCTGCATGGCCAAATATAGTATTACTACTGATGCTGCCATGTTTACTACAATATTCATATTGGGTCATGACACCCATATTTGGACGTCTGACCTATATCGGAAGAGAGACGAACTTTCCAACATGGCGGTCAATTCAGATTTCGATTACGCTTGCTACGTTAACTTGATAATTTAACGACATTTTAGGCAGAGGTAAACTTCAAGTTGTGCAGGATATCAACAGAAATAGTTCATACTACAACCCTATTTATGGATGCAGACCAATGTGCTGTCAATTAATTCTAAAATCTCCCCGGTGTGATTCACACTGGGCTTGCTCCATTACAAGGCATGGGATCGATTTAATACCCAGCGGGGCAGAGGAGGCCGGGTATTAATATTAGTACTAATTAAACTGTAGCGTAAAATATGTCCACTGTTAATGTGTTATTATGATCTTTAATGGAAAGATTGGATAAAAAACTCAGGGTATTGCTGAAATTAATAAATATTCAATTATACAGAGGTCTTGACAGTAAACATTATTGTTTGTCACTTGGTTAAATCTGTGGTATAAAACAGACACCTCTTGTGGCAGTCCTCTCCAGATCTCTGACAGACAGGGTGGTGGTATCAGCACAGGAATTGTACTGGTTCCAAAGCTGAGCATGGAACAGTGAGTTATCCATACTTGAAGGTGCGAGTTAGCAGGCCAACCCCAGCCCATGTAAAACAACACATACTAGTATCATTTATACAGCAAAATGTAGCTGTTAAATAGTGATGCTGAGGTATCTTTATAAAATTACAACGCACTAAACATGCATGTCATTCGATTTCTTGGCTCATGGAGCGATTGTTATCAATGTTCCCGGCAGTGTTTGTCATAATCTCTAATTACATATATAGAANCCCCCCCCAAAAAAAATAGCCTCTAAGATGACCAAGCACTGACTTGTAGCAGCAGCTGATCTAAGTAAAAATGTATCAGCTGCACGAACAGCCCTAGTCCAAATTATGGTTACCGTCAATGAAAGTACAAAATTTACCAAGTTCCTGTTTGTTAATGGTAAACCACAAAATACAATACATGATGAATATACATGAGAAGTATTCTTACATGATTTCAAAAGTACATTTGACAGTTTCATATATGACCATATAGATATCCCATTTACTCTTATTTAATTAACCAATCAGTGCTGTAATTGACAAATGGAAAAACAAAACTGTTTGGGAAAAATAGAAATTCAGGTTTCATGATAAAATTAATGCGTTCTTTGGTTGTAATCTTTAATTAACTACCAAGATATTGAAAGAACCACAATGACTTTGGAGACTGTACTTGGATACTACCATGTGAGCAGAGAAGTTGAAGTTCAGATCAAAGAAGGGTAAGATGATGTGTGAAATATAAAACCCTGTATATCCAATCTTTATGTGGTTCTAAAGAAATCAACTTTATTCATTTTACAATAATACCGGGTAATGGAACAAATAATAATCTTTTTTTTTATTTGAATGTGTCATAAGTTAGCCATCACGATTCTAGTATAGCAACATTCCTATGTTATAGGAAATTTTGCTATAGACAAAGTTTGTTCTTCCTGAGACAATTCTAGGGATACAAATATGGCTATAAATATAAACAAGAAGTTATGTATCTTTGTACTGTTTACTGTATATATACATTGTTACATGCACTTTTGTTTCTTTACCAGGCCGCACTCCTGTGGTCTCCAAGGTTACCTCTTACAGATGGACAGGCTGCTTCAAGCTCACAATTACTTCCAGAAACACAACCCCACCAGTCTAGAACTTGTTGATGTTGTAAGTTTAGCTTTCCATCCATAAGTCTATAGCAATGTACATCTTGTATAATCTGTACATGTTGCAACTGGGCAGTTATTCAACAAGAAATCAAAGAAAAATATAAAGTTAAGATTGGAGGTTAATCTGAATGTGTTATACATTTGCCTGACATTTATGTTCAAAATGGTAATGGTAATAAAATGTGATCTTTGGAACACAATACCTTGAGTGAACAATTGAAAAAATGCAAGAATATTGAACAAACTTCAAATTGACCTACTTGGTGTGGTAAACTTGACCAATACATGGAAATGAAGTATAAATATTCAAAAATGGAAACTATTGAATGGTTGAAACATAACAAGCGTAATAAGTTCTTCAAACACCAGAAGGCAACATCAACATAGTTATTATAGGTAGATTCAGCAAATCACCATGATGGTAAAAGAAAATGTAGTCTACATACCATATCTGTATCCAATAAGGTAAAAAGCTTACATGATAATTTGTCTCATTTATAGAATTTTTACCATCATGGATACACAGATTTTTTGCTAAAACTGTTCAAACTCCATATTGAATATGCAACCCAAGTGTGGTCACCAGTATTAACAATCAAAGATGTTGAATAGATGAGCCACCAAAAAAGTAGCACATCTTAAAGACCTGTGTTATCGGGAAAGGCTGAAATCCTCATGCCTATTAATTCTAGTATATATGAATCTAATCATTGGCATGATAAAAAGCTATAAACAAATCTTCATTGCATAGATGAGGTATAAACAGATCTACTTTTTGAGCGAATTGTACAGGAGATGACAGTAGAACATATATACACTGGTTCATTCTTAGCAGAGTGAAAGTCAGAGTTTGCTGAAACAGGCACTGGCATACCTTACATTTCACTTGTAACTATTACAAGTTATGATGCACCTCCTGAAGACATCATAGTTGATAGACCTATATAAGCATGATGCTACCCTATGATGATACACAGGGATGAACAATCATGATTTAGACTTGAAATACATGTTATTGCAAAATGAATATGAGTCAGTTTTATGTCAATTTTTCAGATTCGTGTTTTTGACGAAGGAAAGGATGCCTTGCAGGTGGAGTTTCGCACATTATTGGGGCGTCATGGCCGACCTGTCCCGGCCATTACTATCCTCAATCACATCAGTTCATATGAGGGTAGGTTTTATGATATTTAGAAAATGTATTAATTCTACCAACAGAAATGAGATGGCTTCATTTTGGTGTTATCATGTGCACACATGTGTTTCAATCTTTCACATCATTATCTAATTCACCTCCCTAAGCTACGGTGTATACATTTTAATTGACAAATATGTGTTTAAATATTGCTGACTGATGTAGATATGATCCAACTCTAAATTAAACGGAATGTTAACATACCAGTGAAGAAAAACTAAACAACACAGCCTACCTACGTTAAAGGACATTGATGTCTTCCACACATAGGGATGTTTTTGGTGGAGTTGAAGGATTAAAATTCTCGGCGTTAGGTTAAAATAATAATAACATAGAAGGAGAGCAGGTACTAATTACAAACACTTTCTTAAACAACATGGAAACAGTTTTGTCAGAAATCAGGTTTAGTGTAGTTCACATGTAATTTTTGTAAATACTTATTTTTATACGCCCGTCAAATTTGACGGAAGTATTATGGTATGGGGTTGTCCGGCTGTCCGGCGTAAACTTTTGTTTGTCCGGCAATCTCCTCCTACATTTTTCGACCGATCTCTTTGAAACTTGGTATACATTATAATCATGATATGAAGTTGTATCTCCCTTAAAAGAATTTTGATTCAACAGTTTTACCAAAAGTTATTGCCCTTTGTTCATTTCAGTATTGGATTTTTTTGTCCAGAGATCTTCTTCTACATTTTTTGACGGATTTCTTTGAAACTTATTAGGCTAAATAATCATGATATGTTGTTGTGTTTCCCCGAAAAGAATTTTGAATCAACAATTTTTGCAAAAGTAATTGCCCTTTGTTTATTTCAGTATTTGATTTTTGTCCGGCAATCTCCTCCTACATTTTTCAACAGATCTCTTTGAAACTTGGTATACATTATAATCATGATATGAAGTTTCGTCTCCCTTAAAAGTTCTTCACCTTTGTTCATTTCAGTATTGGATTTTTTGTCCAGAGATTTTCTCCTTCATTTTTTATAGCTTGTCAGCTAACCACTCTTAGAATGATGCAGATCTTATTTCAATGTAAGAAAGTATATAACACTATATGGCATTCGACGGGCGTATATTGTTCTGCCCCGCGGTACTCTTGTTTCAATTGTGTTTCCAACAATTTTTTCACAAAGGTGAGAAGTCACAAAAGGAACAACAGTCATTTCATGTCCCTTGTTAAAATGTGAATAAATGTTTGCTAGATATTTGATTTTTATAATTGAATATTGAACGTGTTACTAATTTTACTGAACATTATTGTAGACCTGCAGCCAGGAGAGGCAGAAACCCCATCAGAAATAGAACACCTTCCAGAGAAGATCATCACTGAGCTCGGACAGATAGCCAGGTGGCTCGTTACTAATGGTCCCACCACTGACTTCCTAAAGGATTACACCACCATGCGATCATCCATGATGGTCAAGTCCCTCCAATGGTAAACATGGACTAAACAATACACTTTACCCAGACTTTTACATAGGACCTTGTATATTGGAACATGTCCAAACGTAAATCACAGGGGCTACATTTTATTTCATAATACCCAGTAGTGATAATGGCAGTAATATATTTTAACTTGCTGGTACCCTGTACCTTAAATTGGAACCTAGTAAGTTTTTATTTGGTATCTAATTAAAGATAAATTTACATTGTGTATATATATATTTCAAGATTATATAGGGGTCTGTTTACACAAGCGACGCTGTTCCTGTTTGTGTTCTGTAAAGTTGCTGAAAACAAAATATTCTTTAGATTTTGTACCATTCAGATGGTACTAGGCTTCATTTAAATCACTTCACTCTAAAGGGTCCTGTTTCAAGGACTGAATATAATGTCATCAATTTTTTTGTATTTTTTTTAGCTGAAAGTTCTGACAATGTACCTGACGCAAAGCTGTTGTTTAACAACACATGCTGCAGTAAAAAGTCAAAGACATTGTATAAACCTTATGTGATATAACTTGAGTTACCGTCAAAGGTCCCACATGCTTGTTTAACAGTGCCTTTTTGTTACAGTTTGAAGGAGCATATGAAGTCCTCCAGTGGTAGCAGTGTTAATGCCATATTCCCCGGACAACACTCCCCCGCCACAGTATGTAGATTTACCGGGGGGTATACAGAGTTGTTGATAGAGGATTTATGGATACATTTGTATTTATTTTGTGATATGATATTAAATGTAGCACCGATTTCTTAAAAAGAGTAGTCACACTTTCTGATTTCAATTAATTATTCTTTAATATTTATATTATAACTTGACTTGATTGGCCTGCCATGATATACTTTTGTGGTATTTTAGTCTATAATGTATAAATATGGCCTGTGTACACAGATTGTCGTTAGATCTAATTTTCAACAACCGTTTTTATTACAGACAAGCAAATTCAGACCTAGCAAAGATACACCAGTGAGGAAGAGTATGAGGAAGATTGCGTAAGTTGTGATTTATTGAACAATTACTAATGGATACATATGAATTACGGAATACATTTCAACAATAACATAACTAGAAAATGGCAAAATAAGAATCTATGGTATGATAACTTTATTTATGTTTTATTGATATCAGAGTATACTGTTGAAGGTATTGTGTGAAAAATCTTGGGGGGGGATCTGAATAATTGCTACAAAAACATTATTTTTAAAGTGAAGGTTAATACAATCGTTTTGATTATTTGTAGACATACCTTTAGGAAGAAGGCAGCTACAGCTTTGATACAGTCACCATTTGATCCAGGTAAAAAGCAGGAGAGGAAATATTTAAGTTGATATTTTTTTTAAATAAAATAATCCATATAGAAAGCATTTATTGTTTTAAATATGACTTTCAGATTGCATCTCTAATTATAGATGTTGTTATTGGATTCTTCATGAATTATGGTTATATTTCATGAGTGGTTAAATATTTTAATATTTTTGTCTAGAGTGCATAACACATGTGTATGGCTGTGTAACCAGCTGTATTGTCCTGATCTGACATCCAACTCAGCTGCAGTGGCTATTGAGAGAGATGAATACTTTAGTGCAAGCAATTAACTTTCAAAATTTTGGGATTCAAGATGGCTGCTGTGGCCTCTGATTAGCATTTCTGGCAAAAAAATCAGATCTATTGGGTCACTTATTACACATTTTGTGGGAGTGATACAGATTGAGCATACTCAATATGAAAAAATAAAATTTTCTATTTTCTGGATTTAAGAAGGATACTATGACTTCTGATTGGCTATAACATTATTAGCTATTAACTTGAGTCAATCGTGAAAGTGAAGTGCGACAAACCTTATGCTATTGTGCTGGTTATTTGTGGACCTACAGTCAATGTTACAATTAGCATGTGTTGTTATGTGTTTTTTTCTCAGGTTATGGTGTTAAATGGCACATGATATAAAGAAACAGAATGCAATTTAAAGAAACTAAAATAATTCTAATTTCATTTACATGTACATGTTTTTGCTTTCATACGTAAACTTTAAATCCTCACTATATTGCAAAACATGGTATCTTTTATATCACTGTGAATTAATGCAGTACATTTTTGTTTATATAATATGAAACAGGTCATCGACGCCAAGGTTCTTACACCGATGTGATCAAAGAAGAGAGCCTGGACGTGGAGATAGATATCTACATCACTGAGCTCACTGCACTCCTCAAACTTATGCAGGTAAGGTCTTACCTAAGGTCTTCATATCTTGTTGACAGTTAAACATCTTATGTATCATACATTAAAAGTCGGAATGTTTACCCTAATTTAGCCACAAATGTTGGAATCCTGGTTTAGTGGCCTCATAATGTTTCTGCATATGATTACTGATATGGCATCACTGATATACCGGTATCTTAAAAGCAAAACTTTGCTAGATTTTCAACAATAAAGTAGTAAAAAAAATCATTACTGGATTTATGCCTGTGAAAATCAACTTTAAAAATATCAATCTGCATCAAAACATTAATTCGGAAGAGCTTACTATAATTACACATAAGCGTTTGATTTTTGTCTCAAATTGGGTATACTATGTACTGTACTTTAGAGTGAGAACCAACTGATGTCTGGCATAGTCCCTGAGAAGCACCATCGCACTGTGTTTGATGGGGTAGTTCAGCAGGCTATGGACGCAGTGGTCAGTGAGGGAGAGGTCAGTAGAAGACAGCCTGGCTGTTACAATAGATCTGGATATTCCAACACAACAAAGATAAATTACAACCAATTAACCGAGTTGAACCTTCTAATCTTAAGATAAAAATAGGGTATTCATTATACATTAAGAAAACATACAATTTAAATAAAGTTATCATTGGATAAAAAAGATGATTTTTTTCTGAAATGTCTGTATTACTTAAAGTGTTTAATCAGTAACTTGAGTTGTAGTTGTTGGCGAGCAATGCTAAAAAGAATATCGTCAAACATGAGTTCATGGCGGTGCTTTCCATCTTCCCTGTGGTGAAACATCTTCGCACCATCAGACCTGAATTTGACTACACACTAGAGGCAAGGACAAAATGAAGTCATATAGCTAGAAAGAATAGCTACTGTATTAGAGCTGGTTTAAGTTATTTTCAATGAAGTTTTATAATGATAATGATAAATGCTTAAATTTGCAATGACGAAAAATGCTGCACTATTTTCTTGATTCAAAGCGTATCTGTACCTATAAATAAAAAGGAAAAATCACTGATTACATACACTTTGGAACTCTATTATGGGTGAAGCAAAGACTTTGTCATAAGAGTTGCTAACCCTATAAAGATCAAGAGGCCTTTTCTACATTATAAAATGAAATAGGAAGGTACACATTTTTCGTAGCAGGCATGATTTCACCAGTTTATGTTGTGTTTTCTATTTGTAGGGCTGTCAAACCCCAACTCGAGCCAAACTAGTCTCTCTGTTGTCCACACTTGGAAGTACAGTGAGTGATTCCTCTGTTCCTGTCTCACTGCAGTTATACTTTCTCTCTGTCTCTCCGTCTTAACTGCCGAACTATTAACACCAGCACATGTAGTTAAAAGCATAGTTGGTCCAAAATAAAGCAATACAGGGTAGTTGAATAAGTGGTACTGGTAATTACTTTGTATGACTAAAACAAATGGTAAAAAACACAGAAAACAATAATCATATTCTGACTTTTGCTTGTTCTGACATACAGAGTACTTTGTATGAAAAAAGTGATATGTACCTTGTTTGTTTTAGGGTGCCAAAGCTCTAGAGGAGTTTGTTGAGAGTATAAAGGTGAGTATAGTGAATGGGCTTAAACAAAGAACTTGATGTGTAAATATGTTTGATATCTTGCTGGAATGAAATACTCTCAATTTGGTTCAAATAAATGACATTGACTTACCTTGACATAATTTTAAGGTCACATGGGTCAAATGTGTAGACTTTTTAAAGATCTTGTAAGGTCTAGACTAGTTGTATTTGATCTGTAGTGTAGGCTTCCTTGCGATCGAGTAAATTTGACCCACTTTGAAGGTCACAGATGTGAGATGTGTTTTCTAACACCATTCAATAACAGATGAGAGGTACAGGCCAGTTGGGCCTCTTGTTATTGTATGATATTGGGGTAGGTGTGATCCACTAGTTTACTTTCCTTTTAGAATGACCCAGATAAAGCCTCCATGCCAAGAGATGGTACAGTCCACGAATTAACCAATCATGTGAGTTCTGTTGCTTTCAGTACAATTTAGTCAGCCAATACTGGGCAGTCAGCTCATTGTTTTAGGTGAAAATGATACTTGTCTTCTCTGATTGAACTTTAGAAACAGTTTTTCTTGCATATTACCACTATTCATTATCAGGCCAAAGTTTCATCATCAACAGAAATTATTTAACTTTATGATTAATTTTTCAACCATTACACTTTTATGTAAATGACATAGGAGTTTGAGAAGTTTAAAAATCAAAATCAGAGGAAAATTGTGAAACTCGGATCAAATGAACAGCTTAACTAAAGATTTCTTGAGAAAACATTTCCAATTATCATACTTCTCAAGAACAGTACTATTTAAAGATACTGGAGGTATGAAATATTGAGACATATTAGTAAAAGTAAAATTTTCCTAGAGAAAGCACATGTACTTGTTATCTTTTGACTTGTAAGTATCAGCTCCTGATTTTTAGTGGATATTTTAAATCTTCCAGACCATCATATTTCTGGAGCCACTACTTGATTATTCCGATACTGCTGGTGCCATGCTGCTGATGCATGGTAAGTAAACTATAGCCAAGATCAGCTGGCTTCTGTAAATTACAAGGGAATGCAGTGTTCTGAACACCTACATTTAGTGGTGTCTGAACAGAAAACCAGTAGCATGCGGATCAACTGGCTTCATAAATTTCACGGGGATTAAAGTGTGTGTCCAGTGTTGTCTAAATAGTAAACTGTAGCATACAGAAAAGACAGCTTCTGTAAATAACAATGTATTTACTGGGTGAATCTGTGTTGTCTAAGCAATGTCATCATTGGTTGTTGCAGATCAAAGTGGAAATTGAAATAACAGTAATGATATGTCTGCTATGGAGGATGCTTACTTCAGAAGGGAATGAATGTATTCTATCGTTTCAGTAAGGCTCAATAGAAGTCCTGATACAAGAGATTAGCACTTAAATAGATAGTGTTAAGATATTTATTTTTTGAATTCATGTAAGCAGTATCATGATATTACTCAAATCTCCGGGAACTTTTGTGATGTTGGGATTAAATTGTGTTGTCATTCTCCAATGATATTAATTTCAGGGGAACAAGCCGCTCCATCTGAAGCAGTTGATGCCAAGAAGAGCAAACACCAGCTTGCAAAGTACTGTAGTAGGTATCACTTACAATAATCTCTTGTTTGTACATGGTAATAGAATTAAGAAAAATTCAATGAAATCAAAATATTTTCGGATTATTTGGTCTAGATTTGAATTCAAATCTTACAATCACAATGATACACATGTAGTCTCTGGTCAATTATTGACTCAGTTATAGGGAATACCCCATGAAATTTTAAATAGCTTTGATGGTATTACACTTGCCTTATAAACCAGAAGTTCCTGATATGATTCCAAGTAGAGACACTTCAAAATGTGACCTGTTAAGTAGGTTTAAAGTACATGTATATGATAATATTTCCCATTTCAGCCAAAGTTCTGTCAGCCTTGGGTCTGAATCTGAGCAACAAAGCCGAGACCTATAGTGATCCCACACTGAGGCCAGTGTTTATGTTGAACAACTATAACTACATCCTCAAGTCTATACAGAGGTAAGAACATGCTCAAGATCAACATTTAATCAAGTCTTTACACAGGTACATACACGCTCTGGGTCAGCACATAGCAGTCTACACAGGTACATACACGCTCTGGGTCAGCACATAGCAGTCTACACAGGTACATACACACTCTGGGTAAGCACATAGCAGTCTACACAGGTACATACACACTCTGGGTCAGCACATAGCACAGTCTACACAGGTACATACATGCTCTGGGTCAGCACATAGCACAGTCTACACAGGTACATACGCGCTCTGGGTCAGCACATAGCACAGTCTACAGGTAGACACACGCTCTGGGTCAGCACATAGCAGTCTACACAGGTACATACACGCTCTGTGTCAGCACATAGCACAGTCTACACAGGTACACACACGCTCTGGGTCAGCACATAGCAGTCTACACAGGGACATACACACTCTGGGTCAGCACATAGCACAGTCTACACAGGCACATACGCGCTCTGGGTCAGCACATAGCACAGTCCACAGGTAGACACACGCTCTGGGTCAGCACATAGCACAGTCTACAGAGGTACATACACGCTCTGGGTCAGCACATAGCAGTCTACACAGGGACATACACGCTCTGGGTCAGCACATAGCACAGTCTACAGAGGTACAATCATGCTCTGGGTCAGCACATAGCACAGTCTACACAGGTACGTACATGCTCTGGGTCAGCACATAGCACAGTCTACAGAGGTATGTACACGCTCTGGGTCAGCACATAACACAGTCTACACAGGTACATACACGCTCTGGGTCAGCACATAGCACAGTCTACACAGAGGTTGGCATCTTTGAATTCCACAGGTTCTGCTTACAATATACATATCTTCTGTCTTCTTGGATTTTCTACTAACAGAATCAAAGTCCTTGTATGCGCACCCTGTGGATAATACGAGTTGAAATACGTGCACAAGTGTGGTGATAAATCAGCCCTGCAATTGGTCAGTTTTTGGTGTCTTTGACCAATCAATTAGCTAAATGCCATCCTTCAATTTTGTCATGAGAGAAATTCAAGTGTACTTTGCCATACCCTTGATTGAAAAAGTTCTTACTGTAATTTGTTGCCCTAACAGGATGTGTTTATTGTTTAAGTCAGCAGCATGTTGATTTTTTAATCCTTCACACAGTGTCACAACTTCCAACATAGTGTTATCTACCATTGTAATTGATAGATCTGGGTTACTGGAACTTATCCACACCTACCATAAGGAGGTGGGACAGTACTACGAGGACAAGATTAATGAAGAGAAGAAGCACTATTCTCAGAGGTATGTTATCTATTGTAGAAAAAAGTACACAGTACTCTCAAAAGTAAGGAAAGAACCTCTACTTTCATAGGTAAAAAATATTACTGTGAATGGGACAGTACTACTGTCAGTGGTGCATTCCCTGCCTAAAAAAGGAAAATACTATCTGAAGTATGCTTTGGTAAATTATGGAAAACAAATTTTTAGTCACACATTTCAAATGAAAGTAAAAGGAATAAATGCTCACATTTGATTTTGTTGTCACTTAATGCACAATAATTTTGTTTGGAGTCATTATTTACTAACGATTCACTGTGATCAGGCAAGCTGACGTAGAGCCAGTACTCGTCTTCATTGTAAATTTGATCTTAAGTAATATAACTGTTCTACCGTGCTATTTGTTTGTCTTACAAAATAAGTTTGTCCTGTAATATACATTAACAGTTCACTGGTACATGTAATACTGACCGTGATGTTATGGTGGTGATTGCTATTTTTAGTTGGAGTCGAGTGATGCACTACATACTGGAGGTCAATGAGCCAATGTCTATGCAGAGAACACAGTCCTTGGAAACAGCAAAGGTACTCTTATACTCATATATCTTCATGGTCATTCACAGTATTTGTTTCTTATCAGAAACATTCAATACTAAGTAATTGTCTAAACAGCTGTGATTCCTATACAGTGTGGTAGTTGATTGTATACAAACTTGAAGTGAGTTGTAATTTATTATTAAGTGGTACTTGATTGTGATTGAGTACGAAGAAAACAAGAATATTGAAGTAAAACAAAACTGTTATCCAAACTGAAAATCAATGAAAATAGAATAAAAATTTAAACAAAGGAAAGACTCACAATGAGATCGTTGAAAAAAAGCAGGTGACAAGGTGTTCCAGAAGTGTAAGCATCATCAATAACACCTGCCATGTGTATCTAGGTCAAGTTAATGTCATGTTCTCAAACAGAGTACCAGGGTAGTGACAATGAATTGTGATTAAGTTAATCTTGTGATAGAGTGGTACTAATTTTGTTTAGATTTCCTTATATTAGAATCCAAAGAAATACAAAAACCGTAAGAAAAACTGAAGATAATTAGTACTTCAATATTCCATACACTCATGATTCAATTATGTTTTATTTTTAAAAAAAAATCAGTTGAAGGACAAAGAAAAGCAGAACATCAAAGATAAGTTTACTGTGAGTATATAAATGTCTGCACCTACTTGTTAATGTTTTTATGAAGTAGATGTAATATGAAACATTAAAAGTTTCTGATGGAAGCTTCATCCATAATTATCAATATAATATCTAGTGATGAGACCACAATAAATCTATGGATACAATAGAATCGAAACGTGACATCCATTTTAACATCTACTTATAGCCCAAGTTCTATGTGGAAATATGTTTAGAGAATTGGAGCAAAGTAAAACTTCTGTTTACAGGGCCAATAAAAATTTAAGTCATGTGCCTTACCTTGTGACAATGGTTGACATACTGTAGAATTAATCCGGAAATAGTTTGCATACTAGAAACAATTCTTTTAAGAAACTAGTTGTTTATTACTTGAAAAGTATAGATTTTTATTGGTTAAGAAATTCTTTTTGTAAATGTATAAACACAACCTTTGATTATCTCGAACAAACAGGGTTTCAACAAGGAGCTGGAGGAGATCTTACGTATACAGAAAGGTTACGCCATACCAGACCAGGAGTTGAGGGAAATGCTGAAGAAAGAGAACCGAGATTTTATTGTACCATCATATACAGTCTTCCTACAGAAGTATGAGAAACTCAATTTTACCAAAAACAGGGAGAAATACATCAAATATTCCATTCAAGATGTTGAAACAACCATTGGAAAGTTTTTTGACACATCTGCCTAGGAACTCAGTGGAGCAGAAATACATTCCAACACAGCATGTATCTACAGTATTTGTACAGCTGACTTGGGAGTGTTACTCAAGAAAGATCAAATCTATCCCAGACATCTGTAACCATCTCATCAGACATAAACCTGAACCAACAGTTTATAGATAAACACTGGACTTTCAGTGCGTCCCATGTATAAAGTACCAATATATAAGCCTGTTAGTCCTGTTGTGAAAATGTTTAGCTTCTGTAAAGAGAAAGATGTAGAACCCTCATGGTAAGATATTATAGTGTGTGATTGAATCATGTTGAATTTTTTTGCTTGGTTTTAACATTATTCTCAACATCCAGTAGTGCTATGGGATGTGATGAAAATCAATTCATGATCTAGTCGTCTTCAATTGTCAGTTATCATCATTTCCATGGGAATATGTCCTAAACTGTAAAGGGAAAAGAATCGGACCTGCTATAAAGATCACCTCTGTATATAAAACACCTGTAAAGTTCAATAACTTCAGCTTATCAAGTGCGCGTCTTTGAAGGACTCATTTTCAATCAGTAACTCTTTACATGATTTTTTTAATATAGAATACATGTTGTGTTGTACAAAAATTAATCTTTCAATGATAAATGTATCACATTTACTAGAACTTACTGTACCAATTCACATTCTACCAAACATGATGGCTTCTATGTGTGGGAATTGTGCAATATTTGTTATGTAAGTTTAAGCTTCAATAAATTAATGTACAAAACACATTTTTGTTTAATCCTTGATACTCTATATAGTAAAAATGTCCTTAATCCAGCCACCACTAATGCCATTATCCCACTATCCAGTCACTATTGATCTGTAATATAATTGCCACATGCTGGACACTATCCGGCGATTTAGGGGACACATTGGCTTTTTTTTCTGTTCAAAATTGTCAATGAAACTAATTAGGTGGTCAGATTCAGATTCTTTATTTCTTTGCATTGTGGTTTACAATACATTGGATAGTGACTCAATTTAGCCTCTTAAACTGGCAACGAGTTGGCTCCATAAAAAAGACTAGACTTATAACAAGAGGCCCATGGGCCTTAACGGTCACCTGAGTCTAGTATTTATTTTTGTTGTTGAAATATGTACCAATTTGAGTAAAAAATAGTATAATGTTAACTTAACTTTGTCAGGACCATGAGCTGATCATTCCTAGACCAATTTTAAGTGAGATCGGCCTATTAGAACTTAGTAGCAAAATAGCGGCCATGGCAGCCAAATTGTATTTCTGATTGACCCGAAAAATAACAACACTTTGTCAGGACCATGA